CTCGGTGGATGGTTCCACAGTGTGGTCCACATCCCTAGAAAGCGCCTACACTACTCAGTTGAGTTCCGTCTGGGTCTCCCTCGCGGCCGACCAATGCGCAGCAGCACTCCAGGCAGCGCCTCTCAGTCGCAAGCGACTGCGTCGTCTGCGCTACGAGCCAGACTTCAGTGACAAAGTCACTCTCCAAGGCCCCGCAGGGCGGTGCTTTCGAGGCTGGAAGACCCCGCAGAAGCTTCCACAGTCGTGGACCTGCTTCCCAAAAGGCTCAAGGCTCATCCAGTGGATTGAAGCCTCCCAGAAAGCCATCATCGCCATCCCGCTGCAGCCTCTACACTGGGTGCGCAGAGCGCATCTGATCGATCACCCAGCCAGGGACATCGAGGCAGTGCCTCTATCCCTTAAGCGAGCCATTGCCGCCGAAGTCCACGAAGACACTGTCCTGCTGGCCAAGCGCCGCACGGTGGCATCGATGCATATCTCTCGAACTTGCACAGAGTGCCAAGCCCGCGAGACCGCGGTACGTTCGTCGATTGACGCTCAGGTGAACAGCGTCACCAAGCCTAAGCAGACAGTAGCTTTAGCAAAGCTTCTGACCGAAATCGACTTCCCGGACAAGACTTTGGCCCAGCAGGTGCGAGAAGGCTTTCCCCTGCTTGGCTGGATACAACCCAGTGGGTTGTGGCCAGTGCAGATTCTGCCCCCTTCTCTAGACGAGAAGTCACTACTGGAGAACGCCCAGAGCATCAGTATGCGAGGTGTTCGCAGCGCTCTGCGCCCCTCGCAAGACGGGATCTCGGACAGGGTCTGGGAAAGCACTATGGAGGAAGGCCAGCAGGGCTGGCTTTCTTTGGAAGACTTCTCGCCAGAGCAGCTGCACGAGACGATAGTATCGTCCCGCTTCGGCGTCGTTCAAAAGGGCAAAGTGCGCCCCATTGATAACTTCAAAAGCAGCTTCATTAACAGCTGCTGTGGGACCACAGAGAAGGTCCAAGTTGATAGCATCGACGAGCTTCTTGCAGTGTGCCTGGAGTGGCTTCGCCAAGGTGTTCCCGCAGAGCGGGCCCACCGCATTGTAGGCAGGACCTGGGACCTTAAGAGTGCCTACAAGCAGCTTGCAGTGCAGGCCGCACACAAGAAATTCGCGTGCATCGTCATGCTGGACCCACAGAGTGGGAAGGTGAAAATCGCCCACCTACATAGCATGCCTTTCGGCGCAGTGGCCGCCGTGCACGCTTTCCTCCGCTGCAGCGAAGCGCTCAAAGCCATCGGCCGCGAAAAGCTTGCTTTAGTCATGACAAGCTTCTTTGACGACTTCACCGTCCTTACGCGCAGCGCGCATTCAAAGCTCGTCACGTTGGTAGTGTCCAACCTTTTTCACAAGCTGGGTTGGCAAGTGGCCACGGAGCCCAAAAAGAACGCAGACTTCAGCGAAGTCTTTGACGTGCTAGGCGTGCGAGTGGACTTGTCCAAGCAGCACCTCGGAGAAATCTCAGTGAGCAACAAGCCAACCCGTGCAGCAGAGCTGGGGTTGGTCCTCAGCGAGGCCCTCGCCCGCGGCAGCATGTCCCCCTTGGAAGCGCAGAGCCTGCGCGGCAGGCTCATTTTCGCTGAGCAGCAAGCCTGGGGTCGTAACACTCGCATGGCAGTGATCTGCGTAGGCGACGTCCTTGGGGATGGACCAGAGCAAGTCCCCCTAACAGAGCAGCAATGCCAAGCCATGGCGTTCCTGCTGCAAAGAGTCGTGCACGGACCGCCCAGGACAGTGTCCATCCATGCACGCCGCAAGGTGCACCTGTACATCGACGGGGCCTGCGAGTGGGAGACCCCGAGACTCGTGCCCAAGTGTGGCCTCGGAGCAGTGCTCATCGGAGAAGGCATCGCCTTCACCTGGGGGCTGCAGATCAGCAGCCAAGTCACAGCCCAGTGGGCCGCCAGAGCTCAGAAGCAGCAGCTCGTCTACGAGTGCGAGCTGTTGCCCTACTTGCTCAGCCTCCAAATGTGGGCTAAGCACATAGCAGGCAGCGACCTGTTCGTCTGGATAGACAACGACGCAGCGCGTACCTCCCTGCACAAGGCCTTCACACGCAAGGTGGAAGGAGCGGCGATAGTTTCGCAAGCGGTGGACTTCGAAGAATCCCTGCAGTGCAGGGCCGCTTTCTTTCGAGTCCCCACAGACAGCAATATAGCTGATGGCCCCAGCAGAGACTGGTGGGAAGAGACACAACGGCTTGGCGCAGAGCGCCAATTTTTGCCGCCCAACGCAGTGTCGTTGGCTTTGTCACTCGGCGCGGACTAGATGGGGGGTGAGTAAGGCTTCGAGTGCCTTCAAGGGGGGTGAACCAGTCGTTCGCCTTACCACCGACCAGCGGTCGAGTTTTGGTTTGAAATGCCAGTGGCATCGTTTCGACAGAGCCCGAAGATCGGGCCCGAACCGACCCCCCATGTCCGCTAGGAGAAAAAAGAGAGTGCTTTGCACAGGGTCCTTTCTGCAGCGCAGTTAGGGTTTCCCAAACGCGCGCTAACGGAAGTTTCGTTGGAAAATAAGCATCCATCATGCGTGCGTGAATGGGTTTTATTTTCCGCCGAAAGTGTAGACAAAGTTTGTCGAAAAAGGAAAACAGTGTTTTCACTTGTGTGTGAGTGACACTAGACAAACTTTGCCGTGCAGCTTTCGGCTTGGAGTTGGATCTGTGATCCAAAAAGTTTTTGTCCCACCCACCACACCCTGTATAGTATGCGGGGTCCGGGACACCGCTTCGGCAGCAGAGCTGCCAGGAGCAGCGCTCCTACGCTCTCTCCCGCGGAGAGATTTCAGCACAGAGTGCGTTTTTGTATATAGGCCGTAGGCCGTGCAAATGCAGAGTAGCACCTAGTAGCTGCAGTGACCCAGTAGGTCCTAGCATGTTTCACTTTATCTCCCCGTGGTACGGGTTATTCCCTAGTAGGGGGGGTGGGGGTGAACCAGTCGTTCGCCTTACCACCGACCAGCGGTCGAGTTTTGGTTTGAAATGCCAGTGGCATCGTTTCGACAGAGCCCGAAGATCGGGCCCGAACCGACCCCCCATGTCCGCTAGGAGAAAAAAGAGAGTGCTTTGCACAGGGTCCTCTCTGCAGCGCAGTTAGGGTTTCCCAAACGCGCGCTAACGGAAGTTTCGTTGGAAAATAAGACTCTGTGCTTTCTCCTCCTGAAGCTGATGTCAACGCGGCATGTTCCGCGTTCAATTTCAGCTTCGCTGCGTTCATGGGGAGCCCATCCAGTGTCCCAGGTGACCCTTGTGAGTCACTTGCTTCAAAAATTCTTGAGCATGGCAATTGCTCATCTGAGCAGCTGCTTGAACTCTCGAACATGCTACCAAGCGAGACTCAAACTCGAAGTGATGGAGCCGCCCCGTCAGGACGTGCCTTCACGACTGGAGCATACTACCACTGTGGCACTGTAGGTGTCAGGCAGAATGCGCGAGCTTACCCACTGGCCTCGCGTCTCCTTGCCACTCTCGCCGCCAGTGTATTCTCGAATTTTCACTTCACAAGTGTCGGCCTTTTCAAAGATGTAAAAACTCGCAGGCACCGTGACCTCAGGAATCTTCCTGGGTCCTTGAATGGCGTTGCACCTCTTCGCCCGTTCTGCGGTGGTGCAGTGAGGGTGCATCACCCTAGTGGTCCTGAGGACTTGCTGGTCTCAGCAGGGCCCGTCACGTTTGATGCGACGGTAGAGCACGAAACTTTAGACTGGACCAACGGTCCCCGTCTTGTACTTGTGGCTTTCAGTGTATGGAATTTCCAAAATTCCAGTTTCAGATGAGAGCTGTTTGAGGTCCCTGGGTTTTGTGCTCCCAGGTGTTACCGATGCACCTGCCTCGGTTCCAGCACTCAGCCATACGACCACAGCTGCTTCTGATGCTATCTCTGGAGTCATTATAGATGTATTCGCTGGCGATGCCGCCTTTTGCAAAGCCGCGCACAAAGCCGGCTTTAGAGCCCTAGCCTTCGACCTTAAGCCTCAGCGTGCCCAATTCCCAATTCAACCTCTCGACATAACGCAGGCCGACGAGCTTGCGGTGCTCCTGGAGGTGATTTCCGAGCACGCCGGTGCTACGTCATTGGTGCAGTTCACTGTCCCGTGCTTGAGTACCTTCTTCACGTCAAAGACTGGATCATGGAGTTTCGCCGAGTTGCTGGTGGATGCTGTCTTCCAGCTTTGCTCGCATTGCAGGGCTGTGGGAGTTCCTTTTGCGATTCTGCACCCTGCTACGTCGCGCTTCTGGCACATGCCGTCTTGCCAACACTTCTTCCAAGCTGCAGACGGTGAATGGACTACATTTGACCAATGCATGCATGGAGGGGCCCAGGATCGCCGCGCTTTCTGGTGGGCCTCAACTGCTTTGTTGCGCCCTTTACAGGCAACCTGCTCCAAGGACCACAAGCATTATAGTCAAGCTGCTTCGGCCCCGCAGTGGCCTCATTTGCTTTGGGATCGTGCTGTAGAGTTACTGTGCCAGCACTCAGGCTTCACGCCAAATACATCATCTTTGTTTGGTCCTCCGGGTCGTGACCTACGGCCTGCTATGGGCAAGCAATCTCGTAAAGCCCGGCCATTGGTCAGCGAATTCTGCAAATATGATGCTTGGGCAGTGCCTCTTCGTGCCGAGCAACCTGTGCTCCAGCTCCTGAGATGCTACCCTAAAGGAGCCCGCGCAGTAAGACGCAAACTTGTTGATCCGGGGTTGGTTCGGGTTTGCGTTTTACCTTCTGTTGACTTGTGCAAGGTCGATGATGTCTTGTCGAGCCCCTGGACATGGGCCACTAAGCATTGCAAGCACGATGCGCACACACCAACCAAGGATTTCTCTGATGTCTGCGGCTTATTGCCTCCGACAGAGCATTCTCCAGTGCTTGAAGTTGTATGGATTGGCATTCCCCGTGAACCGGATGACTTTTTACGTCGAGCTGTGGCAGCCGGTCACCCAAAATCCCTTCTAGATGTCGAAGCCGATCCGCACATGACCTTGCTGATAGACAACCTTCTGAACAGCAATGTCAAACAGCCAGACAAAGGTTTGCATGAAGTTCGGCGATGGACCGAGCTACGGTCGGACCTCTCCGAATCCCAGGAGGTGTGCAAAAAGGAGTGGCCCATTCATGTGGCGCAGGTTCTGGATGAAAAGCCAACTCTGTTGATGGACGAATTGCTCACCCAGCACGACTTTCCAGATCGCCACCTTGTGAAGCACATGACGCAGGGGTTTAGGCTTACGGGCTGGGTTTGTAGATCGGGTCTTTTTCCCTTTGACCCTAAGCCTCCCGCCTCCACCTTAAAAAGTCAGCTCTCTATGGCCAAGTCCAGAAACACCGCCACCTTGACGAAGCTCTCCAAACAGGCTCCTGATGAGGTGTCTCGTCGTGCCTGGGCTGAAACGCTTGAAGAAGTTGACAAAGGTTGGATTGAGGAAGACGAAAACCCAGATCTTTCTACGGTCCTTGTTGCCAAGCGGTTTGGGCTTTTACAAGGTCCAAAGGTCAGAGTCATAGACGACTGCCGTGCTTGTGCTTACAACTTGTTAGCAGGCATCCCTGAGAAATACAGATTACAGAGCGTCGAATACATCGCTGCCTTCCTCTTGCGAGCCATGCTTGACCCTCGCAGCAAAGGCGTTAGCATCTCAGGGAAGACACTTGATTTGACTGCGGCGTACAAACAGTACGCCACACATCCCTTCGATCGTGACCTTTTACGGATTGGCGTTAAAGACACTTCAAGCGGACACGTTCGCACTTTCAAAGTGAATTCCTTGCCTTTCGGAGCTACGGGTAGTGTGTCAAGCTTTCTCCGATGTGCAGCTGCGATCTGGTTCTTGGGATCCCATGCATTGGGAATCCCATGGACCAACTATTTTGACGATTTCCCGATCTTCTCCAAAGATTCCGACTGCGACCTGGTGGAAGAAGTAGCCACCAGTTTTCTCGACCTTTTGCACGTGTACTTTGCACGTGCTGGCAAGAAAGCCACTGTGTTTACAAAGGCTTTCAAAGCGCTCGGCCTTATCATCGATTTGAGCCATTTCGGCGAAGGATATGTGACCATCGGTCATACTCAAGAACGTGGGGATGAGCTGCGTGCGACAATCACCCGCATTCTTGAGTCCAACCGCCTTTCGCACGCTGAAGCCGAAAGCTTGCGAGGCAGGCTCCACTGGTACACTTCCTTTCTTTTTGGACGCAGATCTTCTCAAGCTTTGAACGTCCTGAGCGACTGGGTAAATCGAAGTGCATCAAAAGGCGCGCTGCCTACGGAACTCCGAGAGTCCCTCACGTTCCTCAGGGACGTAGCTCTCCATTCTGAGCCGCTGAAAATTTCGAGGAGTTTGCAGCGAACTTTCTTGATTTTTACTGACGGCAGCCTGGAGGGAAACTTTGCTTGTGTGGGAGGCATTCTGCACGATAGCCAAGGCGTGCCCCTAGCCTTTTTCTCGGTCAAGCTGAACCAAGCCTCTACTGAGAGACTCCACAATCACTCTTCGCATCCCATATATGAGATTGAGTTGCTAGCAGTGTGGACAGCACTCACCCTTTGGGAGAGGCATATCCATGACAGCTACTCTGTCTTTTACTTAGACAACGAAGCAGCTCGCGGAGCTTTGACGTCAGCCAGATCTTCTACTTTGACAGGTACGAAAATCGTCGAGTCTTTCCTGAGGCTGGAAGATCGGTCGTTATGCAGGCCGTGGTTTGGTCGTGTGCCAACCCACTCAAATTGCGCAGACGATCCGAGTCGTGACTCCTTCCAGCATCTCATAAGGCAAGGGGTCCGCAGAGACTCTCTGCTTTGCGATTGGCCCTTTTGAGCTGCTGCTCTCTGGGGCTCCTTGGGGGCAGCTCGTTATGCCAAACGGCATTCAGCATGGTTGCTCTCGAACGACGTTACCCCTTTGCCCTTTTTGAGTAAAACGAAGAGTCCGACTCGGTTAGCGCAAGTTTACGGGCTCCGCCCTTTACGCTCGGGTGTTCCCCGCCTTAGTGCACGTTTGAGGAAAGAAATAAGATTTTCGTCCCGGAGCGAAGCGTAGGGATAAATCTTTATTTCCTTTGAACAATCAACGGTTTTTCTCTGAAAACCGAGTGCACCAGTTTTCCAACTTTGTTTCCTTTGAGTCTTGCGAATACCTTGTCGTATCCGCATTTCTTCTCAAGGGAAGGGTGGGAGGGGAAGTCCATTTCCTTCGGCATGAAGTGAATCAACTTTGTCCCGCCCGCCCTCACCTTTTTATTCAACCATTGCTGAGCCACTCCCTTGGCCCTCCTTGGGGGCAGCTCGTTATGCCAAACGGCATTCAGCATGGTTGCTCTCGAACGACGTTACCCCTTTGCCCTTTTTGAGTAAAACGAAGAGTCCGACTCGGTTAGCGCAAGTTTACGGGCTCCGCCCTTTACGCTCGGGTGTTCCCCGCCTTAGTGCACGTTTGAGGAAAGAAATAGATATACATATATATATATATATATATATATATGCAGGAGCAACATATGCTCCTCCGACTCTCAACGTATAGCAATATATATATATATATATATATGATATATGGTGATCGCTGATAGTGCACATCATTCGCTTCTATGTACCAGCGGCCTTGCCACGCTGCTAAACCCGACCAGCTCCAAAACATATGCTGTTAAGCTCTACCATTGACTGTTAACGGCTATCAGTGTCGTCTAGGCGCTTTCACTGCATCTACCCGCGGCTGCTAAGCCTACCAGCTTCAAAACCGACGCTGCCCGATGGACTGGGTTCTCTTCGAGGAAACCAAACTGGAGAACAGCGACCTCCACCTGAACCATGGTCCCAATGTTTTTGAGAGTGCAGAGAAGATCTCCGTCGAGTCCCTCCCCGAGGTGTTCCGTTCCGACACCGCGGATTTCTTTGAGATTGCCAGTGGTGAGGAGCACTCAATCGTTCAAGAAGGTGCAGATTTTCAGGTTCTGGCTGCGTCCGATTCTTCCTCATCTACTATAACCCTGAGATGTGAAGCCTTGGCTCGCGAGAAGCTGCGCATGAAAGCCTTGTCTTTTGCCGACCTCTACGAGATCGTCCAGCTCGTGCCGCTCCGGAAGACCAAGAAGCACAGGTGCATCAGTGGGGGCGCCGAAACAACGGTCAACTACTGTTACATTCTTTGAACACTTGCAGAAGATATGGCTTTATCGTTCGAAGAAAAACAACATGACAAAATGACTCAGAGAACTGAGTCCAATTTTGATTTGTTGTTTTAGGGCTTTTCTTTTACACTGCCCATTTTATTGAACTCATTTATACATGCTGTAAACCAGTTGAAGAATACATTCGTCCGTTGCAGCTTGACCTCTCGAAGGGGCAGGAAGCCTTGAATCGGGCGAGAGTTTTATTTGAAATAGGGGGGCGGGCCGGATGCTTGTGCCTCAGTCTCTCGCTGGGAGGTCTTGATGAAGTGAATCTTCTGCTTGAGTGTGTCTTGAGCTTTGAGCTTACAGTATCCTGCTCAACTTGCAGAGTGATCTCGCGGTTGCCTACTTAGCTGAAGCTTTGTTGCTTTTTCGGTGTGTGACCGAAGTACTGGCCTGTGTTTCAGGAGTATGCAATCACCTGAAGTGACCGGCGGAGAAGCAGAGGCGCCGACACCCTCGGATTCGTTGACATCCACTGAGAGCTTTGTGTTACGCCACATGCGTGGGTTACAGATCCAGATCAGTCGGCTGCATAGCATGCAGCTCATGCTTGCTGACCGCCTTTTCGATCGCGTTTCGCGGTTGGAGTCTCAGCAGCTGCTCGATTCTTGCTTTCTTCGTTGGAAGTTTTGGGCTGGCCGAAATTCTGATCCGGAGCATGCTCCTCGCGGATTGCTGGAACCTCAGCTCCAGTAGTGAGACTTTGCATAGCATGTGTCTTGCTCAGAGGAAAAGAAAGGCGGGCGATAAACGCCTGAGTTGAGTGTATGTTTGGCTGCGGGAACTTGCTGATTATTTGTGCTGCCCTCGGATTGCGAGAGAGTACTTCAGATATGACACTCCAGTTTGGGCCCGAGCGCTTTTTCTTTGCGTGTCATGGAGGGTCGCAAGTGGTTTTGGCATGTGGACGCGCAGGGCCGTTGGGTGCAGATCTGGCATACGCTATGGCGTAGCTTGGAGTTAGCAAGACGGGAAGATTCCCGACGAGACGATATCGGTCGAGATCTTGCACCAGGAGCAACCTCGGAGCCAACCTTCAGGAAACGCAAACGGGGAGAGTCTCCTGAGCCAGACGCCCGTAATTAATCACCAGCAGCTGCGACTTGCACTGAGGTGTTTTTGTTGCCCGATCAGAGCACAGTAGCATTGCCTAGCAATTGCTGCCTCGTTTTGGCCAAGACAAGTGCATGCTAGTATTTGTCTGCATGATACTAACCAGTGTTCTTGCAGACACATGGCTTCGGCCCGAGCCGAAGAAAACAAGCCCGATGCTTCGCTGACGGGAGCGTTTGTTGCAGACTAAGACTGATGTGTGTTGTTGCAGCATGCAGGCAGGATGAGAATGCACAGGTCCTCTTTTTCGTCTGCTCTACGTTTGCAGCCGTTGTGTTTCAGGCAATTGCCAGCACCTCAGCGGGAATGTCGGATACTACCAACCCGGAAGAGGTTTTGGAGACTGAAGCGGAAATGTCTTCGTGGAGCTCAGCTTTCGACTTTTTAGATGAGCCGGCTCAGACGAACCGACAAAACAAAAAGAAGAAAAAGAAGGATGGACGGGACCGGCGAGCCCGCAAGAAGCCCTCTGAGAAGGCCGGCAAGAAGCTCGTGATCAGCTCGGATTCTGCAGAGATTGCTGAGTTTAATATACAGCAGCAGGCGAGCAGCTCTAATGAGCATGCTACGAACATCGTGCCAATGGCTGAATCAGGCATGCAGACGGCCCCTGAGGAACTCCAGACTTCTGGAGAGTTCACCTTCGTTGCGGTGTGGCGGCCAGGACCTCCCCCACCGCGAATTGGCAAGACACGTGCTGTTGCGAAGATGTTAGTTCGCGCGGGCCTGCGTTGCCCTTGTCATTATGTTCGCGAGTGCCCTGACAGACTTCGTGAATCGCCGGGACCCCAGATCGTTATACCCACACCTCGGAATGTGGAGAGATTGCATCGTAGCCAACTTTGATTTTGGGAGTTTTTCTGTGTGCTCAGGCCGGATGCTGGTGAGAGCCAGCGATGAAGCGCCTCGGAGGCGGAAAACATGCGCAAGAGCGCTTTCGATGTGAGTGTGTACGCCAGAGGTTGCGTGCGTGCAGAGGCACCTTCGTACGTGACGTTTGTCTGCCAATCCCTTTTGGCCAAAAAAAAAAAGATTCAGAGCAGCAAGCAAGGCAGGAGCCTGGTGCTGGGTGTTCGATAAGGCGCCGAAGCGCTTGACTCGCTTGACAGAGTCTCGGAGGGCTGGAGCCCGGTTTCAGCTACGTGCTGAGTGTGTGCCGCGGGGATGTTTCCCTGGCCAATGGGACCGATGGGGCCGATGATGCCCCCATTCGGTAGTGAGAGGCGTCGGCGCCGTCGGCGCTCCCCCTCGAGTAGCTCTGAGCGCTCGAGGAGCAGAAACCGTGATCGCAGACGCGACCGGGAATCAAGATCGGTGGGAGCGCGAGCTGCTGCGCCTTTTCCCCCGCCATTGCCTCAGCTGCCGGCAGCAGCGCCGGGATACGAATGGAGGCAAGTACCAGTGGTGCCGGTGCAGCCACCTTTGCCGCCTCCCTCGACTCCTGCCCCGATTGCCCCTGTTGTGCCTGTACCTCAGCAGCAGACTACTTGGAATCGCCAGCCCTGGCGCGGAGGAGGCCAGCAGAAGCAGGGCCAATGGAACAAGCGCTGGAACCAGTGGCATCGGTCCAGCCAGGGGTCGGGTGAGACTCGAGGGTCGGGCCGTCAGTCCTCTTGAGACCGCCACAACATTCAGGAGGCCACTCCTTCTGAAGTGGCCACGGCCGACGCCCGTCGGGCTGCCAAAGAGGCTGATCAGGACGAGGCGGACGACGAAACGTCGTACCTCGCATCTCTGTGGAAGTCGGCGGAGGATGAAGCGCGCGCAGACCCCACTCGACCATTGTCAGCTCGGGAACTGGCAGAGCAAGGAAAACTGCAGTGGTGGTGGAAGATGCCTTGGAAGGCCGTCGTCGAAAAGTTCCCCGACACGGCTGCCTACAAGGAATTCTTGGAAGGACTTGAAGGTCCAATACCGGCCTCTGTGATCTCCCGAGTGGCCACGGTCCTTGCTGCCTTTCGGGCTTACGGCCGCCCCCTCGAGGGGGAGAATCCTGTGGCGGGCGTCGTCGGACCCGATGCTCACATTTTTCGGGTGCCTGGGCAACGAATTTTGATCTTATCCTGCGAATTGCGCGGGCCAAGCTATATCCGCAATCCGAACTCGGAACACTCTGCTATCATGGCTCATGGTACCTCGTTCCCATCTTTAGTCGGCGTGGCGGAGATAGGGGAGATCGCGGTGAACGATTATCGCGATCAGGGAATTCCCTGCTTCGGCTTTTCGGCACGAGGTTCATTGGTCGCACTGTCGCGAGATGCACTGGAAAGTGCAGCGACAAAATGCGCGAGTCGGGCTAAAGCCCTGGGTGGTGCGATTATCCTCGTAGAGTGCGAGTTGCCACGGAGCACCCCCTCTGTGGAGGGGGGGAACGAAATGATGCAGATCTGTTGCCGGGACGCTGGCTCGGTCAGGTCGGGGGATCACTTCTTGATCTCCCCAAAACACGCGATTATGAGAGGAATCGCAGTAGGGTGGCCGTGTTGAGCGGCATTATCCCTGCAGATGTGAGCATTGTGTTATTGTAAGCTAATGCCAATGTTGTGCTGAGTCATCTATTGGCGCTCTATAGCTTGCTAGTTTGGTTTTGCTGGCATTGCTCACACCAGAGGTGGTGGATACTATCCTTGTGAACCACGAGGGAGTGGCAGACCGTCGGGAATCGCGACATGAAAAGTTGTGCCATCTGTCCCGCCTCGGGGGGGGGTCAGACCGCAACTTGTTGTTCACGTCCTGTCGGTTCAAGTTTTGACCGGTTTGGTGGGGCGTCGTTCCTGCCAGGGTTTCTTGCGATGTCTGGCCACGACCCTAGAGCGAGTGAGAATGAAGTGTTCATGCGAAGCATCACTCATGCTCGGTCGTCGCTGCCTCGGCAGCCTTGGGAACAGCCGGCTATGCTGTGCATCTTCGATCCATTGAAGGCGGCTTTCCCTCAGGGCTTGAACTTGCCTTATCAGGGAGTGGTCCCGGCGTCGTCTGTTCCTCAGACGGCAGCACAGCCTTCAGATTCCGGGAATCCGGTGACGAGTGGATCTCATTGTCAGGCATGGACTCGTGCAGTCAAGGCAAAAAGAGGGCCTAGGGCCGCGGATCGTCGTGACGAGGCGTACCGCCGGGTCCTCACATTACTTCATGCCTTTTCGAGTTTCTTTGACCTGTGTACTTTGATGGCGGATGACGAGGAGGACGGCCCGGATTCTGTTCAGGCAGTTTTGGCAGGGAAATCACCGAACACCATCTTGAAACATGTGGGTCCGGTTCGTACTCTTTGCGAGTGGCTTTTGAAAGCAAGTCAGACTCCGCCTTTTGCGGAGAAAGTCTTGTGGTCTTGTGTCCTCAAGATGCCTAAGACCGCGGCCACCACACTGGACAGTAGTCTGCGTGCTATCAAGTGGAGTTATTATACCTTGGGACTACGCGTTCAACTAGAGGTCTTCAGCAGTCCTCGAATTCATGGTGTGGTGAAGAAGGCGCTACAGACTAAAAACCCGTGGTGCCCGGCGTCACCCCTCAAGGTGTCCGAAGTTCTCCAGTTGCACGCGATCTGTTGTGATCGCGATATTTCTGTCATTGATAGATGCGGGGCGGCACATTTCCTTGCTATACTCTACGCGAGGGCGCGAGCATCGGACATCCGGTGTGTCAAAAGTATCTTGATAGACGTGCACAACGAGGACTGGAGTTCGGGCTTCATTGAACTAGGGACGCTTGAACACAAGACGTCTAGGCTGGACACTCAACGACGCCGCATACTGCCTCTGGTGATTCCCGGCCAGGGTATTGCTAAAACGCCTTTTGGTCAGCTCCTCCTGGACATTAGGGCTGAGGCTGGCTTGCCGAACGATCAGGCTGATGTCCCATTCTTGCCGGCACCTCTGCCGGATGGCTCTTGGTCTTCAGACCCGTTGTCTAGCAGCGAGATCACCAGGTGGCTGAGGTATCTACTGCCACGTCCCTCGACGGAGCAGGCCGTCAGTTCGCACTCATTGAAGGTTACTTCACTTGTTTGGTGTAGCAAATTCGGGATGCTTCGCGAGACCAAGCGAGTTTTAGGCCATCACGCGGATGCAGCGACTGGAAGTGATGCAGTTTATGGGCGTGAGTTGCAGAGCGCGGCACTACGTGAGTACGTTGTCGTACTGGATGCAGTGGCGACGGGTAAGTTCCTGCCAGACCAGACTCGTTCGGGTCATTTCTCATCAGGTTGGACTCGGGAGTCCATCCTGCAGGCGGCTGCTTTTCCACAGGACTCGGAAGTCCTGCAGGCGGCGGTGGAAGATGACCAAGATGAGGCTTTGGCTGTGGTTTCTGATGTTTCAGACTCTGATGAAGAAGCCCCGGAGGAACAATCTTTCTGGGCTCATCCGACTAGCCAGGTCCTGCATCGCACGACTTTGGGGTCGGCAATGTTTTTGTGTGGCCGAGCTTTTGGCGATCATTATCGACGCATTCCTATGGCTCGGGCGCAAGCGCACCCGCAATGTGCCAAGTGTTTCCCACGGTTCGCAGTTTGATTTCTTAGCCTGCTCGAAAAGCCAACAGCTGTCCTAGTATCGTGCTCGGTGTGCATTGTGAGAGCTGCGTCCTCGCTAGCCTTTTCGGTTGCCAGGTACTTAGCCATGACGAGTTCCGTAGATTCGGCACCTTTCTTTGTGCAGCGAGCGGATGAAATCTCGCTTGCCAAGCGAGTAGTGGATGCCTTGAAAGGTAAAGGGGTCACCACTTTGGCCCAGCTGGCCTTTTGTGTCGGACAACCGGGACAGGTGCTATCTCAGACTGAGTTTGACACGTGGAGCGAGGCCATGTTGGTAGGCATCACGGTGGGCGAGAAGGCGTCTCTGAGGCGCCTGATCTTGGAAGCTCAGACCATGCTAGTGGCTTCTTTGAAGGATCTGGCAGAACCTGCTGAACACGCTTCCCCTAAAAAGGTGGGGGTAGCCGAGCGGAATGCTCGCATGGATCAGCTTCGGACTCAGCTCGCCGGAGTTTCGCTCACTGGACAGCTTGAGCCGAGTCATGCATTACTTGACATGGCCGTTCAGCAGTGGGAGAGTCGCTGCCTGAAGTACATTGGTCCGGAGAAGTGTCATAGCCGCGAGGATGAGGTTCAGAACGTTAAGCCTTTGACCACCAGTCTTTCCTTGGAAGGCGGTAAGCTGAAGGTTACGGAGGCTGCTGGTATGGATGATCGTGACATTGAGGGCTCTTTGCAGGTCCTTAATGCCCTGCGCCGCAGAGGAGTGGCTTACGCATTTGCTCGCTTGATCAGTTGGGAAAGACATGAAGCTTATGTTTCTTCCTTGTTCAGGTATTTGACCAAGCCCGCTCAGCCTGGTTACAGGAAGGTGTCTCTTCGTCAGATCTTGCGGGCTGACAAGCTTGCCTTCTCCAAGTTGTCGGAGGCTGGTGAGGATATCCGGGCAGATGCTTCAGGCACTCTCCCGCTCGATGCCGCGATCGGGGCTATCCTGCACGATTACGACCTAATTGTAGCTCTCCTGCCTATGGGTGATTTGGATGGTAAGGGCAAGAATGCTAATGGCCGCGGTGGGCGCCCGGGTCCTTACAGCGATAATGCGCCCTGGAAGGGGAAGAACAGGGAAAGGCAAAAACACATGGCAGGCCAAGGGCAAGTCGCCCAAGGGCAAAGGCTCTGGAGCCGGGAAACCGGAATGGTTGCCTGAGGGACTTCGTTTCCAGGGAGCATCTGCATGGAATAATAAAGGCAACAAGGTCTGTTACGGTTTCAACCTCGGGACATGTTCGGATGCGAACTGCCAGAAGGGCGATCACACTTGCTGCATCTTTAAGTGCGGTGGCGATCACCCGGTGGGGAAGTGCCCCTTGAAGCCCAAGAAGCTGTGACTAGCGGCTCCGCCGCCTTGCACCGCCGCCTTGGCGTCGGACGTGGAGATGACACCTTCGGAAGAACACCGTTTCCGGTGCCGTCTCTGTAGCTGATGTCACGGCATCGACCTCACCGCCTGTTGGAGTGGGAGTGGACCCTGCTTCAGAGATGGTAGATGTCGACGATTCTCCGATTTTTGTAGAACCTACAGTTTTGGATCCCCCTACGATGCCGAGCGCTTCTTCTGAGCCTTTTGCCTTGGAGCGCACAGAGAGCGAGGGGGCGCTCCCCTCACCTCCCGTGGCATCGGAGGACTTTTCTCCGGCACCGCCTACTCAGGAGCCGGCCAGAGCCGTTTTGCAGTGCTTTGCAGGTCAAGCTCGTGTGGCTTCGGCCTTGATTAAGCAGGGCTATTTTTCCTATGGAGTGGATCGATTCAAGCAGAAGGCGGCCATGGCCCCAGTGCTTCAGATGGACTTGTCGACGCGGGAGGCGTGTGACTCTGTCTTAACATGGCTTGACAACCGGAAGATCGCGGGTGTTATGATATGTATTCCTAAACACGCCTCGGAGCCTGTTACTACGGCTTTCGTCCTGGCAGTGATGGCAGGGTGCTTGAGCAACAACCTGCCCATGGTTCTTGAGGGTTCGGTGTCTTCCCCCTTTTGGGAGAGTTTCAATCGTTTACCATCAGCACAGCACCCTCCGCATAGGGTGGAGGTGGATTGGCAGCTTTGGGACTCACATAGCAAGCAGCGCAGCCTCGTGTGGTCCAATTTGCCCGAAATCCTCACTGTGCGCAGGGAGGCGGCACCTATGGGACGTAAGGTGCAGCAGCGATCGGAGGCGCAGACAGGTTATCCGCCGGCTTTTGCCACGGCGATAGCTGAGGTGTTCATTGCAGGCCTGACTCAGCGACAGCTGCCATGCCGCAGCCCGGCCTTAGCTAACAAATCGCTGCGAGTTTCGGCTATGAATCAGCCACGTGGGGCGATGCCGGAAGTGGTGTCTGAGTGGAAGTTGGTGGTTTATGTCCTTCTGCCACCGCAGGTTGAGGACCCGTTTGGCGGGTCGAAACGCCTCAAACAGGACTGGCGAGTCCCGCACGGCGCCCGCGTGTTGCCGGAGCTCAAGCTGCTCCCGCAGGATTCCCAGCTTCTGTCGCGTACTCAGTCAGGGGGGCAATTGAGCCCGCAACTTCAGCAGGAAATGCAAAACTTGAATGGAGCCTCAGTTTTGCGAGTGGGCATCCCATGGGATCCCATTGAATTCATTGCTAAAGCAGGTAAGATTGGACACCCATACCACAAGTTATCCAAGTGCAACAAGGATCTCAGAGATCTCGTTCATGACTTAGTACACAAACCGGGACCGGTTCGTTCTCAGAGGAAGAATTACATCGAGAAGTGGGCCAGAAGAGCCAAAGAGTTGGAACCAGAGGAAACCAAGCTGAAAGCTGGCATGTCGGATCACCGAAGGAAGATCCTTCAACCCAAACGTATCTTGCTATTTGAAGAGATGCTGCGAGACATTGGGTATGACGATATGGGTGTGGTTCAGGAGCTCATCGACGGAGCCACGCTGACGGGGGACATTCCTATCACTGGGGTGCTGGATACCAAGCTCAAGCCTGCTAGGTTGGATACTGAACAACTTATAGGGATGTCTGATGAAATCAGACAGCAAATCCGGGTGAAGACTGGGTCGTCGGGTGATAAGGAAATCGACCAGCTGTTGTGGGATAAGACGATGGAAGAGGTACAGAGTGGATACCTCTCAGGACCTTACGATTTCGAGTCATTGCCGAAAAGATGTTTGGTCAGCTCCCGTTTTCCGTTGCTACAAGGGGAGAAGCTGCGACCAATTGACAACTACTCATCGAGTTTGATTAACGAAGCCTCTCGGCCCGAGACTGTTTTTGCTGCGAGTGGTGGGCTGGGGCGGGGTAGCGGTAGCCGTAGCTTCGCATGGTTTCCAGCAGCCGTCGTTGCCTCTGTCTTTTGCAATTGCCACTTTTCATGGGTATTCTTTACATGCTTTTCACGATTTTCTCACTATTTGGCATGCTTTCTGGCAATTTACATGTTCAGAGTTCAACAGATGCAGCAAACCTACAGCATGATCTCGATGTGGCCACAGCGGTCCCAAGTCCGCTGGCTGTGAAGTCTGGGTCTCATCGGGGTGCTCCAGACAGCAGAGGTGAGGGTTCAGAGGCGAAGCACACGTCTTTGAGGAGCAGCACACATCGTGATGACAACAAGGCGCCCGATGCTGCGAAATTTTGTGCTAAAGGCCAGAACAGCTACAGTTTTTCCCGAAAGAGAGCATACAAACGAGCATTGGCAAGAGCAGGTCGGGATGGCTTTGCTCGCTATCGTGGTCGTATCATGCAAGCTCATGAGCTCAGAGCCCAGTATCTACCCAACCGCGGACAGCATGAACAGAGGCCCCTCGTTGATTCCGGCACTCGTTCCCAGGCTTCAGCTGCGATCACGGTGATAAACTGGAACTGCGGAGGGTTCTCGACCTTAAAGGACGAGTTCTACACGTGGTTGCGCGGTTGTGATTGCGATGTTGTCTGCCTCCAAGAGACATGGATGAAGGAGTGTTCGGAGTTCTTTGCGGGGGACTGGCTTTGCGTTCAGAGCGGCATGAACGCTACGAGCTCGCGGGCGCAGGCTGGGGTTATGATCATGCTGAGACGGTCGGTCTTTGATAATGGTTCGGTGCGCTACTCCCACGTGATGGAAGGACGACTTCTCCACGTACGGGCGCAACATAAGCATGGATGGGTGGACGTGGTAGGTGCCTATCTGCATGCATGGGGTGGCTGGAGCAATGAAGCGGACATCTTAGCCAAACGATCGAAGGTGTGGGCAGCGCTCCGCCAAACCTTGGGGCAGCTACCCCGAGGCAATCAACTTGTGGTATGTGGAGATTTTAATACCGTGGTGCAGCCTAAAGCCCCGTTCTTTGACAACCCGACCCCGTCGGCGGATGCACAGGACTTCGAGGCCATCCTCCACGACTTCGGCTTGCAGGCAGTGAACACCTTCGGTAAGCAGGGCAGCTACACACACATACTTGAACATCACTCGCAGAAAACCCGCTCCTTCCTGGACTACGTGCTGGTGCGACGCAAAGGTCCTACGCTCAGCTCATCGGCGCGTATGCTCGTGACCTTTCCGGTGGCTCGCTGGAGAGGTGGTGGCAGGCATCTACCCGTGCTTGTAACAGTGCGTTTCCGCCGATTCCAATTCGCTCGGCCGCGACCCCAGCCCGCTTGGCCGCAGTGGAAGTGTAAGCTCCTAGCCGACAGGATCGCAGCAGATGGGCCAGATGTTCAGGACTTCAAGGCACAAGTCTCCAGGGAGCTCCAAGCTATGCATGACTTCTGCCCTGATCGTGTGAATCAAGTTCTCATGAAGGCGAGCAGGGATCATTTCCACATTGTGAGACCGAGTGGGCTACACCCACCATGGCAAGATGCACAGCATGAAGGGTCCATCAGGGAAATGTGGTTGCAGTACAGGTTGGCCCGACAACAATTTCAGAAATGTGCTTCAGGTCTTCGAGCTTGCTTTCGGGCTTGGCGGTGCAGAGCCCGGTTTCACCAGCTGCACCAAATCGTACGTCGTAACAGCCGGCTCCCTCGCAGACATCGCTTTGATGAACTTCTACGGCATGCGGAGGCACAGGATCACCATGGACGTATCGATCATCTCTTCTTTCTGCTGCGCAGGCACGTGCCCAAGCAACCGAAGGCCAGAGCTCAGCTCCGTTCGAGTACGGGGGCGATTCTTATGCCTCAGGCCGAAGTCCAGGCACTCGCATCGTACTGGAAAGAGGTCACAACGGCCGAAGACCCAGTGCAGGCACCGTCTGCCACGACGTTTGACCTCGAAATGGATGCTGTGCAACAGGCCCTTGCAAGCCTGCCATCGAACAAAGCTGCACCGGCACATTACGCACCTCATGCACTTTGGAGCTGTGTCGCAGAGCCGGTGTCGCAGGTCCTGGAACGAGGACTTCTTCAGGAATGGCGCTCTAGCGGCGCTCACATACCCACTGCCTGGGCCGATGCCTGGCTCACCTTTCTGCAGAAGGCCAACAAGGCGGGGAACAAACCGGAGCACCTCCGGCCGATTGCTTTACTTGACCCGGTCGGTAAGGCGGTATCGGGACTACTCCGAAAGCAGCTCGACACCTACATCTTGCCCCACATGGAAGCTCGTCATCAATATGGCTTTCTACCTGGTAGATCGGTGCAACAAGCTCTTGGACACGCCTTTATCCACTGCAAGTCTGTGCGCTCGCTCAGCCAGGCACAGAACAGATCCCTCTACGACAAGTTTGCCGGTCACCAGGCAAAGGGATGTGCTGGCGGCATGCTGCTGAGCATCGACCTGACGCAGGCCTTCGACAGAGTGGGCCGGGACCTCCTGGAGCAGGCTCTGATTCACATTGGTGTCCCCCTCAGTCTTCGCTCCCTTTTGCTACGATGTGTTCACTCCGTTCGCTATGTAGTGCAGAAAGAAGGCCACGCGCAAACGTTCCCGACTTCCCGGGGGATCCGTCAGGGGTGCAGGCTATCACCTTCGTTATGGAACTGTGTGGTTGTTTACCTCACTCATCTTTTGGAGCAGCAGCTTGGGGTTGATTGGTGCAGGCAGCGCTTGATTGGATATGCCGATGACAACTTGTTCAAGTGGACGTTCCACTCTCGAGAGGATGTGGCGGCCGCGATCTCAGAAGCCACGGCCATCATCAACCTGTTGGAACAACAAGGCCTCACGGTGAGTAAGGACAAAACAGCTATTCTCCTCAAATTGGCGGGCCCTCAAGCCGAGGCCTATCGTCGGAAGATCGTTGTAAAACATGAGGGCAAGCACCATCTTCGGCTGAACCAGGACCTCACTTTACCCGTCAAGGCCCAGCACACATATCTTGGAGCCATCATCTCCTTTGGTCGGTTCGAAGAACTTAATGCCACGCACCGTTGCCAGGCAGGGATTGCCACTTACAACCGGCTTCGCCAGCATCTTCACTCTAAACGCACGTGGCCATTGGCGAAACGGCTGAGACTCTGGAAGGCCTATGTGCTACCCACGGTCTTCTACTCGCTCACTGCCTCGGGACTCACTGAGAAAGGTGCTTCATGCATTAGGGTTGCACTCCTCAGGCAACTTCGGGCCATAGCTGGACGGCCACGGCATTTGACACTGGAGTCTGACGCTCAATTCCTGCTCAACCTGGGAATGCCAACTCCTCTGCAGCTTCTCATCGACAGGCAACGGAACACTTTGGACCGAACGGAGCAGCTTCGCGCCAAGCTTTCCCCCGGCGACTTCAGGCTCGATGCCGCGCTGCTGGCCCATGAAACTGAGGTGTTACACGGCTTACAGGAACTGGCGGCTGACTCCTCCAACACGGGGGCCACCGATGATTTGCCCTGTCCTGATTGTGGCGAACGCTTCCCCACGGCAGCATCACTCCGTCAACATCGTGCCAAGGTCCATCGCAGTGGCGAGAACAAGGCCAAGGGTGAGAGCTTCGATCGGCTACTTCATGGTAAGGACGGCCTCCCGCAGTGCATCAATTGCGGGCACAAGTTCGGCACATGGGAGGAATTACAGCGACATGTGCAACTTGGACGATGCCAAGCCCCCGAGCGAGCTGGCTATGATGACGTCCACCCCCCACTGCTTGCCAAGGTCCTTGCTGATGAAATTGTGTTTCCCGAGGTCATGCTCAACCCCCCGAATGACGACCTCAAAAAGGAGCTCCTCGAGCGGTGTGCGTTGTGCAGGCAATGGTTGCCCAATGAGAATTATATGAAGGTCCACTACGGCCGCGTCCACAAGGACGAATGGAAGGCGCACAGTTCTCGTTTGCGAGTGTGGTGCACCAACAACCTTGCCCCCATCAAAGGGACATGTCAGTGGTGCGGACACAAGGCCCAACAAGGCAGGGATCATCGTGCCACATGCCCGGCCTTGTTTCAGTTGGCAATGTCATGGTTCGTTAATGGAGGTCCCAAGGATGCCGCTGACATGACGGCGCCGAGCGATGAGCCTTATCCTTCAGCTGAGGAGGTAAAACCAATGCTCGGTACATGTCAGATCTGTCGTGCAGACCTTTCCAAACAGCGTTACAAAACGCACATGCAACGCCAGCACAGTGAGCTTTGGCGTGACATGCAGCCTAAAGTGCAACTTCTTTGTGCAGCGTGGGTGGGCTCAGTTTCGATTCCTTGCTCTCTGTGTGGGGCCAAATCCAGCAAGAAGGCCGAGCACGTGCACACATGTGTTCCTCTACTGCAGCATGCACTCCAAATCTGCGTGAGGCATGACCTACGATGCGGAGATTCAGGATGTGTTCGCCAACTGCCTGCCGGCATTGGCGAACCTCAAGGCGGGATCTCTCGAGGAAGTGCCGGAGCGGGAGACAGAGGACCTCGACATGCCCAACCGGGGCAAACGTTCGAGGCAAGAGCCGATGGGAGACAAGACGCTCCCCAGATCACAGTTGGGCAAGGGCAAAGGGGGCCAACGGGGCAGCGATGCAAAGAACAGGGGAAGCTGGAACAATTGGGAGCGCGACGACTGGGATTACCACAGTTGGCGGCCGCAGCACCGTGCGGATCTCGAGAGGCTGATGGAAGCTTTGTGTCGGCTGACCCTGAAGCAAGAGGAAGAGTTGCAGCTTCTTCGAACGGAGAAGCAATTCCTGCTGCATCTGGAGTCTGGCCCTCAGGGAATGCTCTCCCCCTTATGGAAGGTGGCCCAAGTGTGGAAAGCAGGCAAAGACAAAACTCCACCAACCGTGACCAGCTCGTTACGTGTGGCCTTGATCAAGTGCGTCCTCGCGGAGTGGATGGCGAGGCTGGACATCATGACCAAGGATGCGGAGACGGTCAAGAAGATGGAGGCACAGGGATGGGTGAAAGTGCAGGGCGTAGACGAGCTGCACTGGAACTTTCAGCAATGGAACCAGCAAACCCGACAGCTGGAGCTGGATCCGAGCAAACCACCCGTGGGCCACTCAACGATATTGCGGGCAGCGACCAACCTCCAGGCGTTGGTGAATTCCGAGACCGAACGGCTCATTCACCGATTTCACTCCACCCGAAAGCTCACCGAATCGGTCATGGGCGACACGATGCCTTTCATCCTGTCGGTGGCGATGAGAGGAACCAAGGCACAACAAGCCCACGACATCCTGAGCGACCTGACGGGCAGTGCAGCTTTGAGAACCGTGGGAGTGCGCATTCGGGGCGAGCGGGTGAACCTACAGCCATTGGCACAGCAGATTGCCAAAATGGCGGCCGCGCTACGCCGCTGAAGGCTGCAGGGCTCTTAGCTACACCGTTCACGTTGCACGATCGGCATGGCTATATGGTGGCATGCATGATAGCATGGCTTATGGCAGGAGCCGACCATTATGACATCGAGTTCATAGCAGAACCCTTGCACATGCCGTCAAATCCTTCGTTGCATTGGGCACCTCTTTCAGGCTGGCATCCTCACTTCCGTGGCGATCCTCGTTACAAGGTTGGGATCCTAAGAAGGCCGATGTTTTGCGGTGGCTCCAACACATATTACCCAAGGCTGCCTCACCGGCCCTGAAAGGCAGATGGGAGGCTAGAACCTCTCATCACGGCGTTTGCACTTGTACTCATGCTGGTGACACCTGGCTCCCGCTATGCCTGCAGGCTACAATCAATGATTATACATGCGATCTGGATTTGACTGCTCTTTTCTCAGATTGGCGAATCCAGGACGATCGTTGTGCTCTTGTCCAAGCTCCGCAGCTGCTTTGTGTCATGTCCCCCAGGTGGCTCAACAGTGCAGCGGGTGAGTGGCGACTGATTAAGGAAGGCAAAGCGCCAACCACAGTTCAGGTGCCGTGCTTCAGTGCGGAGGGTACTACAACGCATGCCGTGACATATCACATAATATCTGTGGTCTTGTGCTCTGCTTCCGATGGTCATTTCGGCGCTCGTTACTGGACGAGCCTCAAAAAGACTGGATGGCATACGCATACCAATGGTAAGAGTGCCAAAGCTGTCAAGCTCAGTGATACGACCATTCATGCTCGAGATTGTGATGCAGTCTTTCTTCGCAGAGTCTGGGAGAGTGCCGAGGGCGGCACTGCATGAAGCGACATGTCCATCTATGATGCTTTCATTTTTTGCTTACTGTCTGAGCCCGCTGAACCTCCATAAAAAACCGTTAATTGTACAGTGTACTTCTTTGTCATTGTCGCATATGCCTTTCTAGATCCTTGACTCGAGCTTTGTACTTAGTTTTCTGTAGCGTGCACGTCGCTGTACATTCGTGTCGGGCGTGCAGGCACTCGCTCTTGTGCTTCGGCACGGAGTGCCCTAGCAACTTGAAGTTGCCGGCACACAACAACTACCGTGTGCTCGCTTAGGGCCTACGCGAGGCGTTGACCAACGACAGCGCTGCGGGTGAAGGAAGGAAAAAAGTTTGATTAACGACACGGTCACAGTTTCTGAAAAGCCTATCACGCACTCTATCGATGAAATTGCATTGCTGATAAATACGCTTTCGAGTGCTGCCCGAAAGAAGAGTTTACTCCTTTAAACTTCCCGAAGCAGAAAGGATGAACTCCTCATTCAGTTTTGCACAAATTTCATGTTTGTTTTAAACTGAAATTAGGAATCACGTTTGCAAGTTTTCCGGGCAGTGAGATGAAGTGTGGCTCCGGCGACTTTCCTCTCAAGTGTGGGCACGGGGAAAACTTGTAGGGCTAGGGATGGCCGCGCGCCGTCGCGAGCTGCCTCCGGTGCCACATCGGCGCCTTCTTCTCTTGTTTCTCGAGGAGGAAGAGGAGGTCAGGGGCTGGCGCAGTGAGATTCGTGCGTTGGACCTTGTCAATTTTCTGGGCGCTTCGCGTACGAATAGCTTGCTGCTGCGTTTTCTGGGCCTAGACTTTTCTTACGAGCTTTTCTGCGTCAACAGAGCTGTCCGAGTCATTTTGCTGGCTACTTCCGATTTTGCGGCTGCCGACGCGCGTCGCCTTCGGCTTCGCTACTTCGGTCTCCGCTGATGCAGTCGGAAGCCGAGCCTTCCGATGCCGAAGATGGTCTGCCCTTGACATTCTTTTGGAAAGGGGTGGATGGAAGGTCTTCGGGGCAGCTTGGTGAAAATGCTTTGCCTTGCGATCTCCTTGAGGATGCCTCTCAGGCCGCAGGTGTGGCACACGGGGAGCATCTGGAGATAAACTCAGTTGATGGGGCTTTTTCTGCGAACTTAGATGTTTTCGAGGAAGATGTTTGGTCCTGTGGGAATTCCGCTGCGGAACGAGACTGGTATAAAGTTGATTTGTCGGAAGATGGTGCTGCTCTGCCTTCAGAGGATTCAGTGGGCCTTCCGGCTGAAGCTCATGGTTTGGGCTTGTCATCTGCGGCGGCAGGCTCTTCTGCTGCTTCTGCTAGAAATCTGGACAGGTCGATGGCGGCAGCTTCCAAACTTTGGATGTTCCTCAAGTAAAGCAAGTCTGGGAGAATGATTTCTGGGGAAGTATTTTACTCCTCAGTCAGAGGATTCCTTCCGTGGGTTTTATGGAACTGGCCTCAAGAGGCCTCTGCAGCCTGGCGTCCCAGAAGGCGTCTTGGAGCAACCTTCGAAGAACCCGCAGAGGGCGGGAAGGGTCGTCACTAGAATTTTCGAGATGGCCGTTGTCAACAGAGTGGTTGCATCATGGAAGCAGCAGCGCGAGGAACAGCTTTTGGAAGCGGTCTGTGCTTGGGCTGTTTTCATTGGCAGATGGTCTGAAGGTGTGCAGGTGCGGGATCAGCTTTGTGAACTTCCCACTGACGATGAAAGGAAGGCCATGACTTACGATGTGCTGGGTGCAAAGGCCCCGGGAACACTTCGCAAGAGGTTAAGGAGTCTCTTGAAGTATGAAGCTTTCCTTCGTCAGAAGAAGCTGGTTTTCCCTGCAAACGAGATTTTACTTTACATGTTCCTCTGTCTTGAAAGGGATGGGGGTGCCAGCTTATCTTCGCGAAAGGCTACGTATGAAGCAGTGGTTTTCTGCAGATACGTCCTGGGGGTAGAGGAGCTGGACCTATGTGTCAAGAGCAGGCGTTGCCTTGGCAATGCGTGCCGTGGCGAGGTGAGGCCGAGGAACAGGGCTTCGCCGCTAACGGTAGATGAGCTCTCCCTTCTGCACGACCGGCTGGAGAACGCACAGGACCCGTGGGACCGCGTTTTCGCTGGAGCAGTTTTGCTGTGTGTATATTCGCGGTCAAGATGGTCAGACCTGATGCATGCAGAGGGAATTATTTATGATTATGACAACCAGAAAAATCTTGCCTATGTGGAGTGCCCCGTGGCATACCATAAGAATATGAGGAGCCGAGTTATGCGGCATGATCTGCTTCCTATGGTGGCTCCTGGCCTGGGAGTTGCGGGTTCCAACTGGGCGAGGCTGTGGAAACTTGCTAGAGAGGAACTCAACATTCCAGATCCTCCGGAATT